TCTGGTCGATTCCCTGAGGCCTGTGGAAGACCCTATGCCTCTGAGGCTCCTTACCTCAGCATTCACCCCCACACTTAGCTCCCAAGTACTGCGTTTCGATTGGCATTGCATCAGCAGCAATTTACCAGGACACAGGTCCTTCTGGAACCCTGGTGGGGTCTCTGAGGAAAGGGTAAGAGAACTTCGAGGTGTATTTTCTCATTTAAGGTTTGTAGCACAAGAGCTGGCAAATAATGTGTAGTTCCTCATCTAATTTCCACCTACTTGCCCATATGAATCACAAACCTGTGGAAGAATCTCTGTATGGGTGTGCCCGTCTCTTCAATATCAGATGCTGGGAGAGCCACACATGGATGGTCCTTCCATTCACAGTTCTAGGAGATATGATCAGAGCTCCCCCCCCTTTTTTTAAAAACACTTTACCTATAACTAATGACTGTTAAACTTAAAAAATGAATGAATTAAAATCTAATACTTATATTTTTACCATTTATATACTGAGTACTTTTTGTGATTTGCTTCAGTTTGGACAGCAAAACTAGACTAGTAAATTTCACTTTGTTCTTAATCAGTTTCATTTTCTTCCCAACCCTGGTTTGTTTACCATAGGCCAGTGGTTCTCAAAATCTGGGTCGGGACCCCATTTTAATGGGGTCACTAGGACTGGCTCAGACTTGTTGGGGTCTGGGGCTGTGGCCAAAGCCCGAGTCCCAGCCCCACCTTCTGGGACCGAAACCAAAGCCCAAGGACTTGAGCCCTGGGTGAGGGGGCTCAGGTTACAGACCCCTGCCTGGGGCTGAAGCTCTTGGGCTTTGGCTTTGGCCCCCTTACCTGGGACAGTAGGGCTCCGGATTTGGCCCTGCTATCTGGAGAAGCTGGGCTCAGGCTTTGGTCCTGACTCCTGGGGTTGTGTAATAATTTTTGTTGTCAGGAGTGGGTTGCAGTACAATGAAGTTTGAGAACCCCTGCCATAGACAGAGAGAGTTAAAATAAGACTCATTAACTTTATTAATAATCAGCATGGATTGATTTAAATCAGTGATTTAAATCACAGATTTTAATAATGTTTTAGAACAGCAAGCAGGAAACTTTGATTGAAATCAGATTTTAATCTTGCTTTGTATTTGTACTGCAGTTATTTTCTTCAAGAGAGGTTAATTTTCACTGGTTGCTCACCATTACAACATGCTGATTTGCAATTAAATGTAGCCGTTACACTAAATTTGGTGCTGCTTTTTGAAAACTAGGAGGCTACAGTATATTTACACAAGTTTATTTAAGCAACTTTAGAGTTTAACATACATTTATTCAGATTCCTAATTTTTACCTTTTTGATTGTTAGAAAGTGGTGCATTTCTTGTTTACTAGAGAGTGAGTGAGTGTGTGTGTGAAAGAGAGAGAGAGATTGTGTCAAGCTGTATTTGGATGGAAATTCTAATGCAACTAAAAATGCACTAAAACTTAATTTTTTTAATTCATTAAAAGTTCTGCCTTAAATGTGCTGAATAAATAAACTTTTTGATAAGAAAAAAAATAAAAAAATTGTGCATTTAAAACTATAATTGATTTATTGAACAAAGCATTATAGTTAGTGAATTGAATTGATTGTTTAGTGTCACCATGTCTTCTGGATTTTAGAGCTAGTAAATCTCATTCCATCATCCTATTTTTACTCATGGATTGGAAGCGGAAAACAAGCTTTCATGCTTTTCAGCTTCTAATTGGTGTCTTAACTTCGAATGAACTAGTCATTGAACTGAACTAGTTAAGCTGGCATGAAGAAAATATTTTCCCTGCGTTTCAGAAGAGGCTACTGTTGTCTTAAACTGGTTTAGCACTTCAACAAACTCTGGTCCCAAGTACCATGACTACCACTAGTTCAGTGGTTTGACTTTCTTCAAAACTTCAGCCATAAACATGTACCACTTGAATATTATTTTTTAATATAATTTTAAATGGTCTTAATAGATTATAGAGAGACAAAGTGGGTGAGGTAATAACTTCTGTCGGACCAAATTCTGTTGGTGAGATACAAGCTTTTGAGCTTACACAGTGCTATTCTTCCAATAAAAGCTGTTACCTCACCCACCTTGTCTCTCTAATATCTTGGTCCTGACATGGCTGCTACAACACTGCATTCATTAATGTATTATAGTAAATTTAGACCTTAACATAGGCTGTCATAATTTCAAATTTAATTTTAAATAGGTTTATTTTTTAAAATAGACCTGTATTTAATTTAATTCGAATATCCAGTTTAAATTAAAAAGTTCAAATTTTTTATTTAAAAAATATCACTCTATTAATAGTTCTTGGGTGTTTTTGAAAGCTAAAATGTATGATCTAAGCTAAATTGGCAGTATCCCTTTAAAAAATTCTATTATGAAGGTTTTCTACTTTAAAAAAAAATTAAAAATATCCTAGCTATATTAATATCCTAGCATTCTGTAGTGTGTAACACCTGATGCATCAATAATGGCTACAGAGATTGGATACATAATGAGTTCTGAAGATTTTTAGAGTAAATATTTTTTTAAAACTTAAAAAAAACCCACAAAAAACATGTAATTTTAAGATTGAGAGTCCTTCATTGTGTCTAAGCATGAGAAGATGATCAAGAACTCCTAATCCTGGCTCAGAACTAGATACTTTGCATTGTTTTGGAAGTAACCTCCCCTCTGTATCTCATTTCCCCCCCTTTAAAAATATGGGTAATGTTTACCTACTTCACAGTTACTGTGAGGATTAATTCGTGTTTTGTAAAGTGCTTTGAAGATGGTAAGTAGTAGTATTGTTTTTTTTAATGTCACCAAGTTCTGCTCAGTCACTGCAAAGGGTTTCAACATTAATATATTCACAGCTCATTGTGCTTCTGCAAAACTGCTTTGGGTTATTTTATTTGGAAAACACTAATTATCTTAATATATACCTCCTTCAATTCTTTACAAATTTTGGGTCATAGACTTGCACTGAAATGCATCCACATCTGGGGTGGACAGAGTCACCTGTTTTAACAGCATGCATCACCACAACAAGATATTTTAGGACAGTGTAGCAGCAGCACCACACTCCCCTTGTTCCTTTTGGCCTGCTGTCTGGGTCTTCCTCTGTTTCCCTCTTAGTCCCCACAATAGCCTTGCAAGTGACAGGCTTACCTTCTTTCAGGGAGACATTGGGGGGCCGCTCATGAACTCCTGGAATACTGGTAGGGTTGCCAATTTTGGGTGGAGGTATTCCTGGAGGTTTCATCACATGACACAATCTCTAATTAAAGATTAATATGTAATTCCTGGAGACACCAGGGCAATCATGGTGGGTTGGCAACCCTAAATACTGGACATTCCAGTACTTCCGGGAATGGCAAGTGCCTACCCCTGCCACCATAACCTTGGACACACAGTATGTGTGAGGTCATGTCACGTGGGAGTGGGGTGGCACTCTCTTAAAAATGGCTCCCCCCATGCAGCGTGATCTTGGATGCAAGTGCATGAGGTCACGCTACGTGGGGATGTTGTTTTTAAGACCTTGTGTGCAAGGTCACGGTGGTGGGGGTGGAGCAGCATGCTCTTCAAAATGGTGTCCGAAGTCTGTTACCAGCAAAATCACATCTGAGTACTGGAAGAGGACAAACCCTAGAAAAGCTGGTCTGTCCATTTTAATACCAGATGAGTGGCCTGCCTAGGGATGTTCTGTCAAGTAGCAGTCTCTAGTCTAAAGAAAACATAAAAACAAAAGGGTCTTCTGCTCTTCCTGGGCTACCCTTCTGCCCTGCTCTGAGAGCTGACCCTCAGGACTTTCCTCCTGGAGTCTCTGCTCCTAAGTGAGCTGATGACCCTCAGGGCTTCTTTCCTGGAGTCTTTCCCCCAGTCTGGGTCTGTACTTCCAATCTACTTCCAAGTCATCTGCCTGGGGATTGGCCTTTTTCTGGTTCTGCTACAGGAGCCTGCTTCTCCCCTGCTGCCCTCCTTCAATCAGAGCCCTCATAAGAGGCAATCTCCTTTCTGCAGCTTTCTCTTCAACTGAGCTCTCCCAGCCCTTTATGGAAATTGCCCAACTCTTCCCTCCCTGTCTGGGTGTGATAATTGAATGGAGTCACCTGATAGCAGATGATCAGGGTTATCTGTGGTGAGTGGTAGTCGATCCATCACAGGCCAGGCTGAACCAATCTCCGTTTAGAGGGCCAGCCAGCCTGTGTCAGACAGGAAGAGAATATGAATATCCTATTCATTTGAGACTGTGGCTTTGCCTACGCACGGGAATAACCCTGATTCAGTAATTGGTGGCCTGTAACCAGTGGAGTTGTGCTGGTGCTGACCCCTAAGGGTAGAAAAGGGTAGGAGCCTGCTTCTCCCCTGCTGCCCTCCTCCAATCAAAGCCCTTTCTGCAGCTCTCCCCCTAACTGAGCTCTCCCAGCCCTTTATGGAAATTGCCCAACTCTTTTTGTGTGTTTTCATCAATTGAGGTAACCTGGGTTTACCTCTGCTTGAAACTCTAGTGAGCTTAGTTAATGCCGTACTCATCTTGTTCTCATTAACACTGGTGCAGTGCAACAGAGTACTGAATCGGGGCTATTCCCATGTGTACATAAGGTGTGTGTGGATTATTAAGATTGACAGATTGTCATGGGAAGATATGTTTTAATCCCATATGTGCAGCACTGTGAATATACATTGTGTTCTAGTTTAATATGTAAGTTATTAGAGCGTTTGTAGGCAAACATGTCTGCCTGCAAACTTTAACACAGGGAACAAGAATGTGAATTTTCAGGCGTTCAGAAAGTTTCCAAGTCAGGTTAAAAGATTAGAAGGAAAGCCTTCTTTGGGAAGCTGTTAGGTTCCTTATGTTTGCAAGGATCATTTGCAAATTAGACTAAGATGCTATCATGAAAGATGGTCTAGTTGATTTCAGTATTCATGCTTTTTATTATAGTATAACTACTTCTTAAAAACTGCCTAATTTCTGGCTTCTGCTAACCATAAAATAAAAAATTTATTCTACAGCAAAAGTTTGGAGAAAAGGAACTTTCATTTTCTGAAGCCAGAGACTGAAGGCACTGTGGAATTAGTAAAGAGACAGCTAGAAAGAGTGGAGAAGGTAGAGAATGGAGTTGCAGACTCTACAGGAGGCTCTGAAAGTGGAAATTCAGGTTCACCAGGTAAGTTGTATTCTTTATTTCTTGGTTTTCTTCTCCTACATTTTAATGCAAGTAATGGTTAGTCCTAAGAGGTCAGGTATAGCAATAGCCTGTTCAGTTTTGAAATTGCTGTAGAACTTACACTTTTTAAACTTTCTGTTTACCCATCAGTGGCTTCTTTATGCCAGTAAATACTTCATAAATCCATTGGTCTGAATTTTTTCTTTTTTTAAAATGACATGCTTTAGCATTGATGAAATAATCTAAAGAGGGCATTTTCAGTGAATTTTGGCTGAGAGATCTTTCTGTGGTCCAAAGACATACTGCCAACTTGAGGGATTGGGAAGAAATCCTGGAATCATGGAGAGAGATGTGTTCCAGTGAGAACAAGCTGTCTGCTGATACAGCTGGGACTTAGACACCAGGGGGAAAGCCATTCGAGGGGTATTTTAAATAAAACCCAAGTTTTTTGACTGCAGAAACAACCTCCTTTCACCTGAGCTCAAGAAGAATCTTTATTTTGTAGTGTTAGGATGCTTAAAGTTTGTCTGTCAGATGCTAAATGGCAATAAAAATCAGTTAGCCATTCCATTTTATCGCAAATGAGTAATTTTAGTTAGATTGGTATAGCTTTGAGAAACGTAAGTGAAGGTGTGTCAAAATGGTTCTTCAAATATAAGGTAAGGTCACAACCATAACTATGGAGTTAACTTTTCTTTAAATGTTATCTCTTCAAAATACTAAATTAATATAAAATCAACTAACTGTGTGAGTATCTCTGAGGGGCATGTGAGAATTGCTACTTCTGTTACACGAGTAAAATGAGATGTGTGTGGGATTCTGTGATGAAGTTTATTGAAGAGTTGAACTGTAAACTTGGCTGACGCTGACTTGCTGTGAGCACGTCTCTTCACTTCTGTTTTTGTCAGCTACCACGATGAGCATAATACTTGAATGGCTAGATCCGTAGAATGAGGATAATTATATTTGTCTAGCTCACAGGAATGTTGTGAGCTCTAACTGAATAAAGTTTATGAAGTGTTAAGACCAAAACATGGAAGAGCGTGGAACAGAATTCAGGCCTTTCCTGTATTCTATCTTTATATGCATTCTGCTAGACCCTGAGGCCTTTTACTGGGAGGGGGTGGATCATTTAAAGAAAGCCAGATACCAGCTTCCAGAATTGCAGATTAGTATTATGTGCTTGTGATGGGGCTCCACTCCCATACTAGCGCCTCCTGCTGGTCGTCATGAGGGTCAGCTCCGCAGGTCAGTATGTCCACTCCCGGTGTTCCTTGCCCACCGTCACTCCTGCTGCTGGTCCTTTGTCACTCCAAGGACCACGACGGCGTCTTCATGACACAGCCCTCTGGCTATGCCACACACTGTGCTCCCCCTTCTGGGGGCCAGTCCAACTGTCCATCCAGTGCATCACTGTGTGTGGGGGGGACCTGGGCCTGCCCACTATTCCAGATTCTGGCCCAGGGACCCTTTAGATGCCAGCCACATGCTGCATCCCCTCAAACCTCTCAGTACATTTCTCTGGGCCACTTTTCCACAGCTCCAGCACCTTCTTCACCCTTCCCTCAGGGCCTCAGCATGTCAGTCTTAGGCACGAGCCAGGAGCTGTCTGTAGCTTCCCAAGTCCCTGGTAGTCGCACTCCTCTGTCCAGAGTGCTGGCGTTCCTTCTGCTTGCAAGGCAGCCAGATCTTCCTCCTTGAGCTCTAGGGAGCAACTGAATCTGCTTTGTCCTGCAGCTCTTCCTATATGGGCCTGTCAGGCTCTGATTGGCTGCTCCTTGCAGCCCCTCTCCGATTAGCTGCTTTTCCCACAGCGTCCCTACGGCGCCATTAACCCCTTACATGCAAGCGTGGGGCGGATGCTCCATAACAGTGCTTCTCAGGAATTTGAAGGTCCTTATCTTCCATGTGGAGTTCATAAAGGTTTGTATTGAGGTTCTGAATGCTTTCTTAATTTTAAAAGGTAACTTTTTCAGGAGCATATAGGTGTGTCAGTAACAAAGTAAAGATGGAGTTCAGGAAACTTCATTGTTGTTTACTGCTGTACAGCTCAAATGGAGAGTGACATTAGGCAATATATTGGAAAAGTAAGTTATGTGATATAATTTTTATTTAAGAAAAATCCTGCATAGAAATACAAAATATTACCAATATATATTTCAGAAGCCAGCACTACATGTCACTGAGAGAATTGTCCTTCGTCGTATCATCTTTGTTCATCAATTTTTTGACTCCCCAGATTTCTCTTTCAGATGGCTTCAGTAAATTTAAGTTAACTGTACAAAATCCTCCTTTTCCTCATTCCCTGTACCCATGTTGCTGATGGGGACGTGTATGTGTATCTAGAAATATATTGAATTAGTGGTTGTCAAATTTTTTCATATTGTACAACTTTCCAACCTCTTTATTCTGCACCTTACCTGTGGTAGCTATAGTACTCTGTTATATGAAAATGAATATTGTGACTATATTAAGGAGACAGTATTAAAATAAACTCACTTTAATGTGCTGGGTGTTTTTTTCCCTTCATTGCATTTCCCCATTTTATATTTATGATTGTAGCCTTTTAAACTCATTAGGACTGACTCTCCCCTCCTTTACTGCACCACCCACTGTACTAATGATCAAAAGTCTTACAGAAATAAGTCCTGGACAGGGCTGCCACTAGTGGGAATCATAACTTCTTGCAAATGGAAAGATGCTCCAGGTTCAAGACTCAATTCTGTCCTTCACTCTGGGCTGGAAGGGATAAGGAATCTTACTGAAGTCAGCAACATGATGCAGCTGCAAAAAAGGCTAATATCAGTCTGTGGTGTATTAATTGGATTGTCATATGTAAGACATGGGTGATAATTGTCCTGCTCTACTCGGCACTGGTGAGGCCTCAGCTGGAGTACTGTGTCCAGTTCTGGGCACCATGCTTCAGGAAAGATGTGGACAAATTGGAGAGAGTCCAGAGGAGAGCCACAAAAATGGTAAAAGATTTAGAAAACCTGTCCTGTGAGGGGAAAAAACTGAGCATGTTTAGTCTTGAGAAAAGAAGACCAAGTGGGGATCTGATAAGTTTTCAGATGTGTGAAGGTCTGTTACAGAAAGGACATGGTGATCAACTGTTCTCCATGTTCACTGAAGGTAGGACTAGAAGTAATGGGCTGAATCTGCAGCAAGGGAGATTTAGGATAGCTATTAAGAAAAACTTTCTAACTGAGGCTTCCAAGGCAGGTTGTTTAAAAACAGGTTGGACGAACACCTGCCAGGGATGGTCTAGGTTTATTTGGTCCTGCCACAGCCCAGAGGGCAGGACTTGATGACTTCTCAAGGTCCCTTCCAGCCCTACATTTCTGTGCTTCTCTGATTCTATGAAGTAGTGCTTTCAACTGCTGTGTGGAAGGCAGTACTTGGTTCATTCTAAAGCACCTTGCCCTTTTAAATTTGTTTGTTATTGTTAAAGGGCTTCAAAGGGAGTTGCATTTGGCTGTCCTCACAGAAGAATTGGTCTCCCTGAGTACTCTTGGGGCAGATTAATGGAAGAGCCTGGAGTACCCCTTCCCTTCTCCCCATCTGTAGGACAAGGAGAAGAGAAATATTTTAAATAACTTAAGCCCAGCTTCTATTGTTCTCTCTCACATTGAACTCCTGCCTACTTGGAGGATGGTGTAATATGATCCTAACTTACTAACATTTGCTGATATTTTAATGCTGTACAAAAGTGAGTTTATAGTCAAACTGACTTTTGCAAGGTGTTTTATGAAAAGTTGTGAGAAGATAATCTGTCTCCATATTTTAAATAACATTTATATAACAACTAGCAGAGTTATTTTAACATAACTTTATCTGAGGTAGTGAGCACGGAGGAGCTGATGAAAATGGGCCAAGAATATAAACCTTTGGGAAGATACCAGCTTCTCTGCATGACTAAAGTGGCATGTCTGCAATCAGTGTCTTTTTTAGGTTACCAAAGGAGACTTTAAAATTAATAACAAATACAAATAAATTTATAATTAGAAATAAAGTCTGAAATCTCTAAGAAACGCTAATTCACATAATTTTTCAAGCAATATTGATGTGAGTGAAATGCAGTGTACTAATGTATCTGTTTATGTTCTGGATTTTTTCCTCACTTTTCTTTTCTTATAAGGGGATAGGGAAGCAAGTGTGGACTTTACCATGTCCCCTTCAGATTCACAGATGAATGATTTGATATGGTGAAATGGCCACCGCTAAAACAGGAATTTGGGTTGTTGGGTTTATCTTGCCTCATCATTCTGGGCTTCTTGTTTTCCTTAGTAAAATCCTGATAACCTCCTTCCTGCTTAGCTATATAGGCAACACCCTTCTGCAACTGCCTGAAGGAACTGAAGGAGGAACAGCAGTGAATGGTGTAACCATCTGTCTGCTTCCCTTTGGATGTGGGGGGTATTTCATCCATGATGATCTCAGTCACTGCCAATTCAAGGGATGAAAGTGGGAAAAGTCTCTTCTGAACATGGATCTCCCATGTGGTACCAACCAAACCAACACACAAGCAGTTCCTTACTGCCTAAAATGTGCTGCATTTGATTTATATAAACAAACAACTATTGTATCTAAAGTAGTTCAGTCTGTTCAGTATTCCCTATGACTGTGGGCAAAGAAGACAGCAGTTTTAGAGGACACACAGCTATTTGATTAGGTTACCCAGCTGGCTTAAATTTTCCTTAAAGGGAATCTTTTTTTTTTTAAAGCAGTTCCTGCAAAAAAAAAAAAAAAAGAATGTAGTAGCATCCTTCAGCTAAATATGAAAGGTGATAGGCTGACTATAGAATTAATAGGGATGTCTCATTATATTAATGACAAGATTTCTGTGAATTATAAAATAATTTCATGATGAGCTAAGTCTTGCTATTTTTTTTTTTTTTTAAAGTACAGGGTGTCTTGTTTAAATTACAACTTCTAATCAGGGCTATTACATAAACTGTCCAATAAACACAACCTTGATTGAACTCTGTAATGTATTGATGAATATGTCTCTCTCTCTTTCTAGAAACTGGTTGCCCAAATGAAGCAAGATCCACAGGTAAAATATGTATTTTGTTTTATACTGCTTTTATTACTCTGGGAGTTAAGGTATAAGAAATACACTAAGTCCATGACCTCTTGTTTGCCATTGTTTATTTGCTCATAATCTACTGCCACGGTAAAGTTATGCTTTCTTTTTCTTTGCAAGTCATACTTTTTAAAAATAAATGGGGAGTATTGGCTAGCTGAGGGATTAATAGTAGAATAAGGAGCCTTTCCATGTTGCCAATGTTTTAAATTCAACCTAATTGTTGTTTGGCCTGTTTAAAATGAGTTGCTGGTCTCAGTTCAGTGGCTGGTGGATACCTTTCCACATCATAAATGCTTCCACCACACTTGGCACTAATTGACTATTTTAAGCATTGGTAACAGTCTGTACAAGTAATAAAGAAGATGGGGGCCCAGTTCCAAGGAATCTGCAAAATTAAGACACAGTTCATTGGTCAAGTAGAAGAAAATGGTATCTTAGCACATACAGTTGCATTTATTTGGTTTGTTTAAATCAGTTGATGTACACTGATGGACTAAACTGAGTTGCAATGAGGGATTTGAATAGAGTGAAAGAGTTTCAGCAGTAGGGGCACTGTGGAAGGAAACATGGTGGAAAAGGCACAAAAAGAAGTGGGGAGGTGGTTTTCTTGGGTGCATGAAAGGGGCATGAAGGCAAGTAGTAAGAATGAGAGAAAAATGTGCTCCAGGGTAGAGTAATGTAGAGTGTAGAAGGTGGCAGAATTTCTCTGTCATCTCATCAGAGAGGCTAATGATCAAATTATCCTCCTCCTGTTTCTAGCAATAGGCTTTTAAGGTCAGGGTTTAAGGTGTGTTAGTAAAGGAATGGGTTTGAGAGGAAGCTTGCAGGCTGCTTCTGCTCTGCAAATAGAGGACTTTAGTTTCCAGGGCACTTAACCTGGCTCTTTTTGCTAACCCTAAAATTACTTTGAGAAACTAAGTCAGTGCTTCACCTAGTGGTGAAAATATTTTCCCCTCACTGCTTTAAATTACTAAACCTTTCTTTGCTGTGTCTGAATTGAGCCCAGTAAATGCACTTCTGCTATCTTCTATAATTTGCATTATCTGAGTATGTGCTTGGTGAGTAGACACTGGAGCAAGACATTTCTGTTTTACTGCCATAGATGCTGCAGGTCAGGAATGAGCTGTGATGGGGCCCAGATTGGAACAACAAGGGAGGGCTGAGAGTAAAGATTTGGAATAGCTTTTGGAGCTTTATGGTATCCTAGTACTAGAAGGAATTGCAGGTCAGGATTAGGATGCATTTTAAAGTTGTGTGGAGGAATGTGAAGGTGTGGAAGTTACTCTGAGCATGGTAGCCCCTGTAGTAGTAATAGAGGTTTGTTGGTTTCATGTTTTTACATAGCGCTGAAGGTGTGCATGCCATTTTGCAGAAATAATATATGATCCCTTACCAACAGAGTCTACTGTCTAGGTGAGCTATGACTTGACATAGAAAGAGATTGCATGAGGAGAAAATGTAAGAAGAGAAATGCTGGGAGACTCATGCCAAACAAGATTTTGAAGCTGTTAAGCATATCTTCTGTCGTGTGTGTGTGTGTGTGTTTGGTTTGGTTTGGTTTGGTTTTTTTCTTTGTATTTTTATTAAATTTAGTAAATAAAAATTGAGTTCCCTGTCACATCCTGTACAGTGAGCTGTTTATGGCTCTCAGAATCTTAAACTTGAGAAAATGTCCTTGTAGGCAAATTGCTAACATGAGTGGTGCATTGTTAAGGCTGTTGCAACTTTTCTAAATATAAGCAAAGGTGTAAAAAGACATATACTATTGTACCGAAAAGGGGGAAGAGGATGTAGTAGATATATTCCACCTCTCATTTGGTGTGCATGATGTTTAATTCCTACTAATAGATATGGTCATTGATGTCCTTGACAGTCAAATGTCTGTCACTGAATAAGTAGTGGAGGTGAGACAATACTTTAAGTAGCATGTATTGTGTACTGTAGAAATCCCTAAGATAAACAGATTTCTTCTGGCTTCTCTGGCCTGAAAATACAGTGATATACAAATTAACCTTATTACAGCATATTGTGAAGCACCCAGGGATGTTTTAACTAACTCCTTCCAAACTGAGTTCCACCTCTTCCTTCCCCCCCCAAACTTATTTTTGAACACTGGAAAAATCCACTAATGATTGTTGCACCAGATGACTTTTGAATAAGTCTGTACTTGTCCATTTGGATAATTTGATTGGTGGTATGTCCAGAGGTGCTTTATTATTTGTAGTACTCTATGCAAGAAGTCCTGCTACTATTGTGTTAAGAAATGGAGTTTCTTTCTCACAGATATTTTTTTCTTTCTTATCAGAATGCTGATTTGAAGAAACAGCTTCATGAACTCCAAGCCAAAATCACAGCTTTGAGTGAGAAACAGGTAGGGAAATAGATATTTTTAACACCATGTTCTAAAGAAATGTCTGCTCTCATCTTCCAAGAGAGCTGCTAAATTTCTTTGTGTGGATGTAAGTATGGGCAGTCAGATGTTTTGGGGCTTTATTTAATTTCTCTAGCACAACAAAAAATAAAGACAAATAAATGGAGCTTGAACAAACGGACTAGTATATCTGATGGCCTGTATTGATGAATGTGTCAAGAAAGTGTTCTGTTTAAACTATATTTTACCTTATATGAAACAGAAGTGGGAAGACGCTGGAATTTGTTACAGTAATTTGAACTTGAGACCGGAGTTATAGTCTAAAATTCACTCATTTTATTCTAAACCAAGAAGTCCTTACTCAGGCAAAACTCTTTGAAGTCTATTTCACGTTATGGACTGAGAAACTGAGTAAGGGCTTCTGGATTCATGCCCTTGAACACTGGAGACCGCTTAGTCCATAGTAAGCCAGTCTGTTAATCTTTGCGAGGGCAACTGTTCGTCTTCATTGGCGCTTGGTTTCTAATGGACTGATCCACAACTGACTGCTAGTGGCATTAGCCACCTGGTGGGGATTGCTCCATATGTAGACTGAAAATATTTGTCATTGGCAGACAGATGATTACTCTATAGAATGTCTAGAGGACTTGCAAAGCCATATGGGTAACTATTAGAATTCAAATTTTATTGTGATGGGATACAGAGTTCTACTGACCTATGCATTATTAAAAAAAAAAAAACCTCAATCAAAAACCTGTTTTGTTAGTTCATGTTTGCAATATTACTATGAAAATATAACTGCATCAAGCCAGCTCTTGGTCACTATGGCCTAAATCAGGGGTGGGAAAACTGCTGCCTGCGAGCTGTTTTAAGCTGCTCCCCGCTCTAGCCGGGGCACTGGATTGGGGCCGCACCATGCGGCTCGGCCCTGCTCCGGCCAGTTAGGTCAGAGGGCCCCTGATAGTTTCAGGGTTAGTTTGCCATCATGCCAGAGGACTGACTTATCAGTTTGTGTTCAGGCAGGGACAGGAGGTAAGGTACTAGAAATGGGGAGAAGGAACTTCAAAGCTTAGAAAAACATAGACATCTGTCTTACGGTGGTTTTATAACTCTGATCTGATATTCTTTAACGTTACAATTATAAAAACCTGAACAGAAGATCTGGCCTGCAGTTGAGAATATGTTAGTTGCTTTCGGCTCTGTTTTCTCTTCAGCCATTGTTTATGGCAAGGGTGGGAAAACTGTGGGCCACATCCAGCCTGCCAGCCGATTTTAATCCTTCCCTTGAGCTCCTGCTGGGGAGCGGGGTCTGGGACTTTCCCCACTCCTGCCCTCCAGCCAGGGAGCAGGGTCAGGGGCTGCTCCACGCACCACAGCTCCACTCAGCTCCCAGACGAGTGGCATTTAGGGGGCTGCCAGAGGGCTCCGCATGCTGCCCCCGCAGCTCCCATTGGCCGGGAAATGCTGCAAATGGGAGCTGCAGGGGCGGTGCCTGTGGACGGGGCAGTGCGCAGAGCTGCCTGGCTGTGCCTCTGTGTAGGAGCCGGAGAGGGGACATGCTGCTTCTTCCAGGAGCTGCTTGAGGTAAACGCAGCCTGGAGCCTGCACCTCTGAACCCCTCCCCGAACCCGTCCCCAACCCTCTGCCCCAGCCCTAATCCCCCTCCTGCCCTCCAAACCCCTCGGTCCCAGCTTGGAGCACCCTCCTACACCCCAAATCCCTCACCCCAGCCCCACCCCAGAGGCTGCACCTCCAGCCGGAGCCCTCCCCTCCCCCCCACTCCCCTGCCCCAGCCTGGAGTCCCCTCCCACACCCTGAACTCCTCATTTCTGGCCCCATCCCAGAGCCCTCACCCACTCCTGCATACCAACCCCAATTTCGTGAGCATTCATGCCCCGCCATACAATTTCCATACCCAGAAGTATCCCTCGGGCCACAAAGTTTGGCCACCCCTGGTTTATGTGGACATTCGTCTAAGGAGAAGCTACACCCTTTTTGCTCAGCATAGCAACTTGAAATTTCACATGGTGAAGCATTTTTTGTTATGTGATAAAGCATGAGTTGTTTTAAAAAAGCTTTGATTAACTCAGTTTCTGAATTGTTGGCTGCCAGTAGTCATGAAAAGGGACCTCATTTGTGACACAGAAAGTGTGAAGTGTGAAAATTGTAAACCAGTTTCCTACTTTACATACCTGTTGTTTGTTTTTGCTAAATATTGAACAGTTCTTGTGATTATCAAAATATTAAAACAGGATGTAAACTGCTTTATCATCTCTACCACTGGGTCCATGAGCTGCTAGTGTCCCCAAAAATAACCCTTTTAAAATAGCATGGCTGCTAAAATGGGGATTATATGAAGTTGTGTTTAAACTGAACATGCATTTTTACATGAAGAGAAGACATGCTTCTTGTGTATGTAGCTGTAGTGTTTGTGGAGGGGGGCCCTTTTGAGTATTTGAAAGTCTCTGCAGGCACAGCTGTGATTTTTGCAAGGCATAGGGGATGCAGTTTAAGAGTCAGAGACCGTGCTTTCGATGGAGCGTTTACTTTTGTTCTCATTTTTTATTATTTTTCCTTTTATAACAAATGTAACTGAGAAAATACTGGTTTGATCTTTGTATATGGGGGAAATCTGCATCCAGTAGGCTAACTTCTAAAGTGGTTTTATGAGCAAAATTGGTGTGTACTCCTGTTTCCTCACATCTTTTATATACAGTTCTAAAGCACTTTTTACGGTAATGCCACACTCCCTGCCTCTGGCGAAGGGATTGTGTTGTAGCATATGCTTAGTTCAGAGAGAGACTGTGCTAGCGCTTTTGACTAGAAGGGAGTCATGTTTCCCAGATTCTGCTGTCCCAAGAATTGGAGACTTAGCCCTCATTTCCCCCTAGGTAGGTTCATGGGACATCTTCTTTTAACCACAGCTGTGGGATGATGATGATTCAGCTTTTAATTTGTGGAGACCTTTGCCATTGTTTAATCAACTTTCACTGAAGTGAGGTGTATAACATTCTGCTTTCCCGATTGTCCCTCCTCTTATGCTTGAGGACCAAATGAGAACCTACAGTTGTAAAAATTGAATTAAATACAGTAGTGTTGTTGCTGAAATTTTATAAATTATTCTTTGCTCTCTTCTTTACTGAAGATGCACAAAGGCTTCTAGTGCAAGTGCCAAATCTGTGGCAGTTAAGGCAAGGCTTCCAGTTGCTGTAGAACTTCTCTCGCATTCTGAAGCATTGTGGGAGTAGTGCTAATATGCTGGAATTTGCTGTCTGTCACTGCGGTGATTCATAGTGGTTAAGGCTTCTTGCTGAGAATTAATAATGAGAGCTCTGTTCAGAAGTTTGTGAAACTGAAGAGATCTGGCAATCTACAAGGAGAAAGCAAGTCGTCTGTGTCATGTGTAGGCATAAACGTAAAAAAGAGAAACTGGTTAGTCGATGCAGAATTACGCTGTACAGAAAAGGGCAAGCCAAAAATTCATATAGTTGTTGAAAATGTAAAGAGTGGTGAAAGTAAATGCTTTGATTTGTTTCACTTGAGAGGTAATGAAGCTGTGCACGCTGTAGGTTTCAATGAAAGGGAACAAACTTTTCTTGAACATAAATTTAATTTAGAGGGGGAGTGTAAATTTTAAATTTTAAACTGTTCTTTTTTCCTGATAATTTTAATTTTAAAAGTAAAGTGAATTTTTAAATTTTCATTGTTAATTATTTAGTTTCTCATCTGGGAAAATGAAAATAAGTGGGGTCAGTTTGGCTTTTGTTTTAAGTTTAGTGATTTCAGAGCTACAGTGTTTCAGTTGGAGAAGAATGTGTTTGTTTAAAAAAATCAGTTGGAATTTAAAAAAAGGCAGCATTTCTTAGGTTTTGCACAAGCACTTTTTATCAAGTCTAAGTTTGGGTCCAGATTTGATTATGTCCCCTTAAAACTTCCTTTTACATGTTTACTTTCATTTTCACCCCAGTTGATTTTAAGATTTTTGTACCATAAAATAGATGGTTAAACTGTACTAATCTTTCACCACTAAGTGGTAACATTTCTGTTTCATGGGGGGTTTAGCCATGATTTCCTGATAACCATAGTGGAGACCTGGAGCTAAATCCCTGCTCTGGAAGTGTACTCTTTAAAGTATAACGGTTTAGAATTAGCAATTGAAGTATCAGGAAAGCTACCAACATACATGTTGTAGATATTCAAAGTTGGAGAACCTATAGCTCTCATGAAAGTCTGAGGTGGAGCAGGGCTGGCGTGAAAGAAGGCATGCAGGATGAAGACTTGCAACAGACATCTGTTCTCCTCTTCCATGCCCTCCCCAATCAAATACAAATGGCATCACCCTGTCACAGATATGCCATTACTGAATGTGCCCCACATTACTTTGTTTTCAGTGACAAGGAAGAGTTCACCTTACTTGAGTGAAAATATGGAATTGTGCCAGTAGTTAAGTGACTTAATCAAGGTCACAGAGAAAGTCAGTGGCAGAGCCAGGAGTTTACCACCAATTTTCAAATTAGTATTCCAGTGCCTTAACCACAAGACCACCTTTCCTCCCAAGTTTGAACACATTATTCCATGCCTAATACATTAGAAAATTAAAGCATGCCTATTTAACCAGAATTTTTTCTAAGGTGTTGTCCAGTAATATTGCCTTGCAGTGCCGGTGTCAGGTTGGATTACCTGATGTACAAGGACATAATTTGTGAAATATGTAAATTTGATGGGCCTAAAAGCATAACTTCCTTTTCAGAAATGCTGCTTCATATTTTGTGAATGTTGTTCTTGGCTCCCTTGAACACATTTCGATGCTCTCTGGCCTTTTTTGGTGCTGCTTCACTTTCCTTCCCCATCTTACCATCTTGACCAAGTCTCTAAGAACCATTTAACAGGTAATTTTAATATGGGCTCTACCACATACTAATTTTGGCAGCAGAAATCTCATTACATGGCCTTGTTTTCAAACAAGAACAAAGTGGAGAGGGTACTTTTTCTGTAATTAA